TGGAGTCGAGCACACGCAGGGAACGTCGCCGGCGACTTGGCGCTGAGGTTACCATGGTCATGGCGAGTTCATAGGCTGTTGTATTTTCGTGGTTCATGAGCATTGTAACACACATGCCGATGGAGGGCGGCAGCGATGGCGGATGTGAGAAGTTGACGACGATCGAGAAGACGGTCGTGGTGGCGGCCGTGATGGTCTTGCTCTTTCGTTGTCAGCAGGAGAGGGCATTGGGCAAAAAGGGAGCGCAGATCCACACACGGCGGAGGAAGATGCTTCATCAAGTCCCAGTCGAAGGGCTGGATACGGTGGCCAACACCGAGGCTGTAGTTCAGGTTTGCTGCCCCATGGGTTGCCGTGTTCTTCCATGAGCGACGTCGAGGCGGTGGATGAAAAGGTGGACGAAGGGGGCGTGGGAAGATCTCAGGCAATGCGATGACGCGACAGAGGAGTACATCCGGGAGAAGCTGCATATGTCACCATGTGTCTTTCGGGCGATGGCAATTGCATCTAGTGTGGATGAACGCCCGCGGGACGTGCTGCCGATGTCGATGTCGACTACAGTCGGTGTTGATCCCTCATCTTCTCTGTTGGAGGCCTTCGATAGAGGTCGGCCATCAACGATAGAGGAGGCACACGTGGAACAGGAGGACCACGACAAGCAAAATCGCGACTGGGAGCAGCAATTGCAGCCTTCAATAGAGGTCAACCATCAACGACACGTACGACAGGGCCGTAACTCCACGACGACGGTGAAGGTCCACCGAACGGCGACGATGAAGGGAGCAAATGGTAGAGGGCAGCATATGGCACACACACTCTAACGGGTTGTACGCCCTTGGACAGCGAGCCGGGACGTGGCCTATGTGGTGGCTCGTGGAGTGGTTCACTGAAGACCTGCTGTAGCGGACCTCTGGTTGGCCTGTGAGACCAGCCCCTTGGCCTGTTCTCACAGGCTTGTGTTGTATTCGGGGTAGTCCAGTCCAGGCCGGTACCTTTGTCGGTACCAGCCAATCCAGTCCAGTCCAGTTAGTCCGCTGGGGTATACCCCAACCAGAGTCTATACTTGGATCATTCTACATTCGCATGGTTTAGAGTACGTGCGTTGGAGTCTACGCGGGAGCTGCGCTATGGCATCTTGCTCCACCCTCATCCTCCATCTCCATCTCTATCCCAGGCGGAACACCTCATCCGGTGGGTCGGCCACACTGGTATCAGAGCGGGAACGTTCCCCGCTCCCACCTACCACACCGCACAGTGGGAAATAGAAAAACAGCGGGAAAACGTGAGGAAAGGTGCAGCAGGGAAGAAGTGACACATGGCAAGAATAGAGAGACGGTGGTCACGGTGCTTGCGCGGCCAAGGCCGTCCCACACGCACACGCATGCGCCATATGCCCACGCTGCCCCGCTCGTGGATTAGTTATATCAAGATTCGGGATGCATGTTGCTGCCAGGGTTTGAACCAAGGCAGCTGCTGGCCATGCGCGTGCATAACTGCTGCCATAACACACTGGCCAAAGTGTGTGCATGGCTTAGTAGT